TCTCTCTCTCTCTCTCTCTCTCTCTCTCTCTCTCTTCTATAAACTGACTACTCATTATTAATGATTAACTAACACCCATAAAAATAAGTTGTTTTCGAGATGTAGGTGATTTTTATATTCGTTAGTAAAATAATTGTAAATATTTGTAAATGTTAAAAATTTTACGTCATTTAAAACATAAAAATTAATGAAAACTTAAATCCTATGTTTAATACAATAATAATCAATAATTATTAATCATGAATAACACACATGATTTAAGCAAGCTGCAATATTACATGTTAATACTTGACTACATTAATGTATTGCAAACGACCTCGTTTATTATTATAAAATGCATAATAATGACCACCGGTAGTGCTCAACCCCGGCCGTCACCTAACAGCCTATCACGTGACAGCACTCGTCCCCAGCGAATAATGTTAACCATCATACTATGCGACTGTTTGACGGCCATCGAGGTTATCACTCGCCAATACCTTATAATGCCAGTGATTGACCACGTGGTGATCGACTCTACCTTAACCCTGTCCATTGTCCAGTCTGTCGACAACTATGTTAACTCTACCCTACTATACGTCCAGTCGTTTGCATTTGTGGCCCTTTCGTGGGACCGATACTACGGCATATGTCAACCGCTCGACAACCCCTTTGACCGCATGTCAAACACACGGATACACCTGTGGATAGCGATTCCCAGCGCTGTCCTATCCGTGCCATTTGTGGTCACATCATATGTGTATTACTTTGATTACGGGCGCAATGCGTTGGTCTGCGCCGATACAGAGCCTTACTATATGTCAACTCTTAACAAAAACAATGAGCTTAAAGTAGTGGCTAAATACTTCCGCACGTTTACCCAGTTTATCGTACCGGCGCTTCTGATTGGCTACTGTACGGCTCGCATAATCACACACCTGCACTCAATCGGTGACCACTCGCGGCGAGCGGTGGCCAAGCGATTGGTGGCCATACTAATTGTGTTCATTATTAAAAACATTGCTTTTCATACGGCCACCAACTATTCCATATTTACCTCGCCCGAAACTTGCCAACTGTCCACTCGTAACTACGTGTGCACTGTTATAGTGAGGTCAACAGGATTTTTGGACTCGTTGATTTTTTTCTGGGTGGCCACCCGTTTCCGGCGCCAGTGCTTAGACTTGGCGACCAGTTGTGTCCGCGAGTTTACCCGAACCAGGCAAATGACCGTGGTGGTTAAGTTTTGTAGCGGTGGGGCTAATATTGCTGCTACTGGTGGTGATGGGGGCGGGGGTGAGTGTAGGGCTGCCAAAGTTGAGGCGATTGTTAAGGATAGTGTGACCACTTTTAGTACCCGTTTGCACCGTCGGGTTGACCGTCGCCAGGGTATTAGACGGCAAACGTTTATGGAGACTATTCTCAGCGATTATTATTATATGATTTAATGTTTTTGTATATTTATATATATTTATTTTATTCTCATTATTTTTATGTAGTAATTGTAAGTTATATAATAAAAATTACCTACAATTACAAAGTTATGTCTACCAATCGCAATGACTAATCATATAATGGTAATATTTAATTAAAACTTATTGTAGTTAATTAAAATTTATCGATGGAGGATAACTTCGCAACTAGATAAATGTTTACTGTTATAATAATTTGATTTCTATTAAATAATAACTTATATTTTAAAAACTAGTCTAAATTATAACCATATAATAATCATGAATAACACACATGAATTGAGCAAACTAAATAACTACATTATTATACTGTGTTGTGTTGATATATTACAAATAACATCATACATTATGATTAAAAGCATATTGATGATTACCGGCGGCAGCCACCAAGCTTCATCAAACAGTCTATCACGTGACAGCACTCGACCCCAGCAGATAATGCTAACCATCATACTAAGCAACTGTCTATTGGCACTACAGCTCATACTATCACAAATGGTGGTAATGCCAATCATTGGCCACACGACTGTCCACACTCTACTCGTCCTATCCATTGCCGGCTCTATTAATAACTATATAATTACAACCTTATTATACGTCCAATCGTTTTTATTTGCGGCCCTTTCGTGGGACCGATACTACGGCATATGTCGGCCCCTCGACAACCCCTTTGACCGCATGTCATACAAACGGATATACCTATGGATAGTGATTCCCAGCGCTGTCCTATCCCTGCCATCCTTAGTCATTACGTATTTATATTACTTTGATTACTGGCATAATTTATTGATTTGCGTTGACAACCATGATTATTATATGCCGGCCCTCAGCGGAATATTTAAGTTAAGCACTACTACTAAAATTATCATGATAATCACCATGTTAATCATACCGACCCTGATGATTGGCTACTGTACGGCCCGCATAATCGCACACATGTACTCTATCGGTGACCACTTGCGCGCGCCGGTAGCTAAGCGATTAATGGCCATATATATCGTGTTTATTATAAAATACGTGGCCATTCATACGGAAACTAACCCATCGGTATTTACCTCGCCCGAAACATGCCAGCTGTCCACTCGTAACTACGTGTGCACTGTTATAGTGAGGGCGACGGGCTTTTTGGACTCTATGATTTTTTTCTGGGTGGCCACCAGTTTCCGGCGCCAGTGCTTTGACGTGTTGGTCAAGTGTGTCCGCTGGCCATACCGTACAATGTTAGCTATCGTAACACTTGGTTATTATATTAGTGTTGGTAAATGCGGGGTCACTGGTAATGTTTGTAATTCCGGCGCTAGTGGTCATAGACTTAGGTATTGGGTTAAACACAATGTGGCCAATGCTAGGGCCCGAATGAATCGCCGCCAATGGCTTAGACGGCAAATATTTATGGAGACTATTCTCACCGATTATTATTATATTGTTTGATTGTTTTGCAATCTATTTAATTATTTGTAAATATTTTGTAAATAATATACTAGTTATTGATTTTTTAAAATTATTATTTATTACTTGGTGTTTGAAATGTTAAATTTTTATGATTTTGACTATTACTTGTGCGACTGGGGGCAAGTGTATGGTTACCAGAATTAAAACCTGGTACAAAGAAAGTTTATGTCACATTCTAAGTAATTATTAATAACTCTAAGGCCCAATGAAATTAAATTGTTTGCAATAATTGTCTCAAATTACAATATTATTTTTTATAAATTATGAATTAAGAAAATTAATTATACAAATATAATAATACACATTTATTAAAACCACACAGGTCGTACATTTCCCAAAGTGGCATTTTACGCGCAAACACTGGGAACCGGGCAGTTATCGTTGTTTAATCTACTCAAAGCCTATTCACTATACGATACGGTAAATATATTAAACTATCATTGTACAATAAATATAAAATATATTCAAATATTCAAAACAATCAATATAAAATTTAAACAAAATAACATGAATTATTTGTATTTTTAAAATCCAGGAAGTTGAATATTGCCAGGGATTAAGTTTTGTGGCCGGCATACTATTGCTTCACGTGAGTGTGTTTTACATTATTGTAATTTTAAATTATGCTAAATGTTAGGGCACATACCCAGGTGCTCACCAAGGCGGTTGTTGCTATTTGATTTAAACATGATAATTCATATCATGTTCCCATATTTATAAATTCATATAAATTTACACATTAGTGATAATACAAAAAAATAAGTGCATAAGTTATTTAGTATTAGTGCATTAGTAAATTATTTTTTATAGTAATTAATACAATCCTAAATTGGAATAATTAATTAGACAAGCTAGAATTAAAATTGAAATTTTATCACATTAAAGAACAGCAACATTATCTAACAAACTGAGCATAATGTTTTATTAAAATATTTACGCTAGCTGTGAATATCAGATGATAATTATAAAAAAATTTATTATTATTTTTTAATATTTTTATTTTATTTGTTAACAAAAACAGATGAGTGAAGACGACTCGTACGAAATGATGAAATACATACTGTTTGATAGGGGGCTTAGGAAACAGTACAAACCGGATATGGATGCTCTACAGGTAGTCCACCATAATATATACCACCCGTAACTGTCCAGACATTACATACCAGTCACTCATTAAATATTCATTAACAATAACTGTATATATTATTTGTGTGTGTTTTATGTTTTTTTTATGAAATCCCGTTATTTTGTATTTTACTTAAATGTTAAGCATCTGTGGTTTGGGTGAGAGAGAGAGAGAGAGAGAGAG